TTATTCATTACATTATTTTTTGTTCAACATGTATTTGAAACATAAAGGTCAACAAAGATGTGGATATTAGTCTTGTTAAGTCATGGATTGATACAAATGAAAAAGTCTGCAGCTCAAGGAGTCAAATTTTGATTTTATAGTTTTCAATCTACAATATTTGGTCTTAGGTATTCATATGTGAACCTGAATTAAGTGCATTGACAAGGAAGGAAATTGTGTGAAATAAATGCCTTTTTTTATCATTAGCTGTAAATTTATATAGGCACACACATATATTACACATGCATCCACCCACCTACCAAAAGGAGTAGGTTTCTTGTTGACCTGGAAAGTCTGTGTTGTTCCAATTGTTAATGTCCTTCAAGCATAATTATACTTGAGAATGAGGAAGCTATCATATTATGTTATATATATATATATATATATATAATCTCAATGACAAATTGGGAAAAATTTTTGTCTATATATATATATATATATAAATCTCAATGACAAATTGGGAAAAATTTTTGTGACACATCAAAAAAAATTTTTCCACAATTTGTCATAATATTTTTGTTATTGGGAGGTTTTGAATAGCATGGAACCACCTTTTTATTGCTGTTGTTCCCAGATCCACAATGACCTGGGGCAGTAGCACCTGTTAGGGTCCTAACTATGGGCAAACTGGGGTCAAAACACTATGAAATAAAAAACAAAAAAAACAAAAACATTTTTATCATATAATGCCAGCAATACATTTAAAAAAAAAAAATATTACCAGCAATACTCTCAATTTTTTTTTTTTTTTTAAAAAAACCCTTTACAAAAATACGTGAATGAAACCTGATCTACAACCTGATTTCTTACAAAGAATATATATTTTATTCATACAAACCTATCCTAAAAAATCCTGTTGGCATTAAATAACTCATTGAGGTTGATATGCCGTAAAACAAAATAAACCAAACTATATATATATATATATATATATATATATATATATTCCATGTAGGATTCCTGATCCATATTTTCTATGAAAATTTCTTGGACATTCAGGACGGTAAATGTTGTTAATACTGTTTATTATAAACAGAACATTTACTTAAATATTTGTATCTATAAAAATAATGTATAAACAGAAAATATATTAAAATAATTGTCAAACTTTGTCCATATATATGATCAAAATCTAGTTTTATGCTATATTTTAGAGTAAAAGTGTTCAATATTAGTAATAGAAAGAAAGCAAATGTCAAATTGGAGACTGAGGTCAACACCAAGCTGTGACAGTCTGTTTCATGCTTGAACGGAATCTTCAGGACATCTGCATTCAAGCATGACAAAAAAACTGTCGCCTCTTGATGTTGATCTCAGTGTCTAATTTTTAAATTTTTTATCTTGTTTATATATGGATGCAAGGATTTTCCAGTTGAGAACAACAAATGAGGGTTTAGTAAATTTTAAGTTTTTACTGAACAACATGCAGCTTACAACCGTATCATGTTGAAACATTGGTTCCCATATGAGCACTGAGTTGAGTGACAGCAAAACTGATCAGTATCTAGATGGGTGACTGCTTGGGAATACCAGGTACTGTAAGCATAGATGTGCAGGTGGTGTAATGGATAATGGCTCCGAATTGTTAATCAGAGCACCAGGTTCCAATTCCTGTTGGTTCATTATATTCGCTTACCCACAAATACCCTTGGGAAAGATATGAATCCAGCTCTTCTCCCCTTGGCTATGGGTTAATTAGTAGGATTAGTATCAATAAGCCATTATAAAAAATAAAAAAATATTCTGATGATCTAAAAATATTATCTGACCCTCCATTAATTGTTCAAGGGCCATGGAACTGCAATGGCTGAAATTAATGGGTTAATTCTTTTCGAAATAAAATATGAAATGATATATATATATTCGTCATCCACATACAAGCATGTTTCGCTGTATCACAGCTAATTAGTGTGGCTGGACATTCGTTTGCTTCAAGCTGGTATTGAAACCTGACCGATTTGGCATCAGTCAGAGATCCTACCCCTAAAGGAAAGGGAATTTCTTCAAATCGTATCAATGTCACGTTATTCCAGGTTATTGATTAAAAATTTACTTTCAAAGTCTGTAGCAATGAATTGTGTTCATAACTTAGGACACTCGACGCAAAATCAATTTTGCAAGTAATAACAATAGTTTAGGTTGAAATTGCTGAATCTTGAACTGAAATCAATTTCGCATAAACTGATTACTTCATAATTAAATCCTCATTTCAGGTCCATTGCCTGCTGTGAGATGATGGCTAAAATTTGCAGATTTTGATCTGACATCAATTTAACGTATTATATATCAGTATATATAAATGCCAGCGAGCTCAATTCATTAATGAAGAGCAATGCATTGATAGCAGTGATGGCTACTGTTTTGGAATTACCTTTTTCTCAATAGCATTTGATCAAAATGATGAGTGTAATATATTCATCCACATAATGCAGTGGGTTGATAAGTTGTAAAAAACAAATCAGCAATCAATCAAATAGTGATTAGTTTACACAGGCACTTCTATTAGATTTATTTACATCATCTGGAATATAAATGTATACAAACCATAGTGACCATAAAGTGAGTGATCAATTTATATGATGATTGTAATATAGAATTGAGCCCCCACTTTATATCCACGTTATAATCTCTCGTTTATCAAATTCTGATTAGTTAGGAATCCATCTCTTCTCCCCTCAGCTATGGGTAAATTAATAAAACTTGTATCGCTTAACCATTATTATCTAAAAAAAAAAATCTGACAATCTAAAAATATTTTCTGGCTTTAAATAACTTGCAAAGGGTTGATAAGCTGTAAAAAAAAAAAAAAAAAAGTGAATCAATCAGACAAAAATACTGTATAAATATTTCAGGTTTATTTTTGAAAACCAGATGCATCTTTAGTACTAATGAATAAATATAATGACACACACATATATAAAATATATATATATTTTATATATATATGTGTGTGTCTTTTGATATATATATATATATATATGAGAGAGAGTGAGAGACACATATATAAAATATATATATTTTATATTATAATAAAAAGAAAGAACAGTAAGATATATAATCTGGTGTTCTTAATTGATATTTTTATTTTTACAAAACAGTGCTCTATGTAATTTTATAGAGCATGAATATTATAAATTAACTGATTTAAAATATGGTTTTTCTTCGCTACACAAGAATTACCATGTTTCAAAAACCAAAGCTAAAAACTTCAAATTATATAATTAAAGTAAAAGCATTAGTTGTGTTTCATCTTCAAGTGAATTTTAGAATTCCAAAATTCGCTTGAAGATGAAACAGAACTAATACTTTAATTATATAATTTGAAGATTTTAGCTTTGGTTTTTGAAACATGGTAATTCCTATGTAGCGAAAAAACCATATTTTAAATCAGTTAATTTATAATATATAAAGACAAAAACAGACCAAACAAAGTATATAAAAGACAGTATTTAAATGTCACTGGTGTTGATGACTAAAAGCTTGATAAGAGGCAGGAGCTTGTGGCATCTTGCAGGTATGCAAGCAACTTAATTTAAAAAAAAAACAAAAAAAAACAATGGTGTGGTGTAAGCTTATAATCTTTACCTACCTCCCCATTAAGATATCTGGGCCTCAGGAAGAAGGTACTTTTATGTGTTATGTTACCCAAATTCAGTAGCTGCTGCTCCTCCAATTTCCTCCACCTGCCACCACCACTATCATAATTATTTATTAAATACTGTAAGTTGCAGGAAGACTATTCTTTTATGAGTATTACAGCCTGAGGATTGTGTGACAGTAACATTACCACCTTTATGTCCACATGAAACTTTTAGTCACAGACAACAGTGACATTTAAGTACTGTTTCTCATATATTTTATATTTTAGACGTTATTTTAGTGGATACTTATATTTGAGTAGATGTTCCATTTATTTATTAAACAGTAGATTTATTTATTTTTGTCTACCAGCCTGAATATTCAAGAAATCTTATTAAAGAAAAATATATGCTCGCTGGCAGAATTTGAACCTGCGTCCCTCTGGGTAGAAGGAAACTGTCATTAGACACGACATCCTCTAGACCGACTCATCCACAGCAAAGCCAATTAGGCAAAGCTGGAGAGAAAAAATAAATATACTGTTTAGTAAATAAATAGAATGTCTACTCAAATATGGTATCCACTAAAATCTCATAGTAATAAAATCTGTTGGATAAATAATAAAAAAAATTAATTCTTTGTTTTTTAGACAAACATGGACTTTTGTGCACTGAAAAAAATGGTGTGTCAAAAGGACAGTTTTTCCCTTGACACCACTATTATTTTAACTACCTTCACTCCTTAGCAATGTTTATTGTTTTAAAATGTGATGTTTAAAATTATAATGAAACCTAAACACATGATAAAAATGAATTTATACATTGTTTTTTTTTTTATAATTTATAATAATATTAAACACTATTAATTAGATTATTTATAAGAATAATTTTATATTTATCACATTCTAAAAACTAATTCAATTAGGACTAGTGCGATGCAATATTTGTCATTTGCCAATTTCTAAAGGAATAGGAACATTTTTTATTGATAAATTTATAAATGTTTATTTAATTAAAATATGTGAACCTACCAACTAGAAGGAAATCTTTATTATTTATCAGTCTGAATCAATTGCCAGTTAGCCGATGTTTGGCAACCATTCTAATAAACAATATAATAAATGGTTTATTATTTTCGTTGTCAATTTCCAAGAATAAAGAAAGTTTTTAAATTCACTTTCATCATATGTTTAGATTTTATTAAAATTCTAATCATTGCTTTTTAAAAGAAACATTGCAGTGGAGTGAAAGTAGTTAAGATGTAAGTGGGGTGTCAATGAAAAAAAAATCTTTTTGACACACTGTATTTTTTTTTTTTTTGCAAGCACAAAGATCTATGTTTGCCATTTTTTTTGTTGCTGACTTTGTCCTGAATTCTTTCAGTCGACGACTTGTCAAAGACTAGAGGATGAAGAATGGTTTCATGGCGTACTTCCTCGAGAAGAAGTTCAAAGACTCCTTGTCAACGATGGTGACTATCTTGTTCGTGAGAGTAAAAACAAGAAAACAAATGAAGTTGTGTATGTCTTGTCTGTTTATTGGAAAGGACACAAACATTTTATCATTCAAACTGAAGAGGTAACTCATTTAATTTTTCACTGTCATTTTTTCTCCTCTTAATTGTCAACAATTTTGAAAATTAACACAACCAACACTTGGGGGCTGATCAGAATCCCCATGGTACAATACAGGCTAGATATCAGTTTATGATTAATTTGTGAGCTGGAATTGTAGGTGGCTATCTGATAGGTTCATAGGTTCTCCCAGTACTTCTTACAGGGTCTTTATTTCAAAATAGATGTGATAGGCAACAATAAACTACAGAACTCAAAATTGATCATTGCATTAATAGTTAGGCTTACCTTTTAAAAGTTCAACAATAATTATTCTGCTGTTACTTAATTTAAAGACCATTTGATGTATGTAGGTCCTTACTTTTTGTGCAAACAGTTATTCGTATTTCATGGGTGACTTTTGCTAGATTTTGCAATTAATTTGGATTATTCTCAAACTTATTTTCAAGTTATAAAAATTATTATACAGAAAAAAAATTGCTGAAAAAACACATAAAAAAATCACCCAAAACAATCGCAGTAATGGAAACTGATAATCCAAAATTTCAGGATTGTGGGCCCAGGTCTGGTCCAGAATGTTTTCAATTTACTCAGGAAGTTGGCTTGATTCCAAAATGGTATATGTTGGGCTATGGCCCTTAGGAGTAAAGTTGAAAACATGGGGACAATTTTATTTTGAAATATTGTAATTTGAGAACTGTAATTTTTTCATTTGAACATGAGCTATTGAAAGTTAGAGAGTTGTGTCCCTTTTAATTGTTTTTATCAGTAGAAGCCAAGATGGTGGAATACAAAAACAATCGCAATAATAGAAACTTGGGAATCCAAAATTTTAGGATTGCGGGTCTACATCCAACCTGGAATGTTTTCAATTTGCTCAGGAAGTTGGCCTGATTCCAAAATAGTATATGTTGGGCTATGGCCTCTAGGAGTGAAGTTGAAAAAATGTGACACAGTCACATTTGCATTTATGTTGTATGTATATATATATATATATATATATATATATATATATATATATAGTCTTATGGATTGAAGTGCTCAGTATCAGGGATGGAGCATATGTAAATATAAAAGTAGACATTGAGGTCAACATCCAGCAATGACAGTCTGTTTCATGCTTAAAGAGAAACATCAGGTTTGAAAGATGATGACCTGAAGATTGCATTCAAGCATGAATCAGACTGTGCTTGTTATTGACATCAAGGTACACACACACAGTAGCAGTTTATATAGCCTGTCATACCATGGTTAGGATTTTATAGCCACAGGCACAATCAAAATCCTATCAATGAATAAAATTGCATTTAAACCAACAGTTCTTATAAAATGACTTGAAATTTTTATCAACTTCTTGCTGTTTTTCATATGTGATTATTTACATTTCTTTTCAGGGTGGTTGGCGCCTTGAAGGTCCCGTTTTCCCAACCATACAGCACCTCCTTGAGCACCAGATAATGAAGGGTCAACCAGTCACAAATAAATCCCAAGCCATTCTGAAGAATCCCATCCTGCGAGAGCCTTGGGAATTGAAGAATGATGATATTCTTCTTGATATGAAAATTGGTAATGTAAGTAGACCTGATGCCAAATATAATGGCAATTCTAAGAGGATTAGATGCTTGCTTATTCATGTCTTCATCCATTATTTTGGCTTTCTCTTGATGGCAGTCTGTTTCCTAAGCTGGCAAACAGTTTGTAAATGTTGGTCAATGAAAACAAGGATTAGAAGAGATAGCAAAAAAAACAACCTTAGAGCTACAAAGAACAGAAAGTCGTGGAGAACCATGACCATTCCTGTTCTGAAGAGGCACAGTATATATTACTTAAAAAATTTTGAAATTTTCAGCATCTCCTGTACATGTGTAGTCACAACAATATCAACAAACCCAGTCCAATGAAGTCCTAATGGATGAAATATGTCACAAAAACTTTTCCAATTTGTCATACATCTTTCAAAAACTGTTTTTGATATTTAAAAATTAAATTTCATTATCCATTTTTATATTTTTATATTTATATATATATATATATATATATATATATATATATATATATATAGCAATGAAATTATTCATACACCCATCAAAATTATTTGTACAGTAGAAAATATTATTTTAAATTGATTGATTCATGTAAGTAATTTACATAATTATTTTATCAGTGGTGCCTTCTAGATTATTTATTCAGTAGAATATTAGTGATAATTCCAGCAAAGAACATTATGTGGTGCTTAGAGTGTAACCATTGTTATTCTTACATTAACAACAAAATGAGGAAGACAAAAGAGTTTAATTTCCACAACACTATTTGAAACTGATTAGCTATCCCTAAGATCTATGATACAGTCCATTATAAAGAAGTTTAAACAGTTTGACACGACAGAGAAATTGTGTGGGCATGAATGAAACCCAACTTGTCACCAAGAACTGCATTAAAACTGTGTCACAAGGTTAATATAAACCCAAGTGTCATTTTGAAAGACATTGACAAAAGTTCGGATATGATGGGTATCAACGTAAGTACTCACACAATACAATGTTGTTTAAATAGAAATGGGTTGTATGGAAACGGACTACAATGAACCCCTCTTCACAAATCATGTCACATTGTTGCTCGGTTTAATTTTGACAAAACGTTCTTGGACAAAGAAAATAGCTTTAGTGAACAAGTACTATGGAGTGATGAAACAAAAATTGAGCTTTTTAGACATAATGATGTAGAGAAGATTTGGTGCAAGGAAGGTGAGTCTTTCCTCCCAAAAAAACACTGGCAACATTAAAACATAGAGATAGCTCAATGATGTTTTTGTGTTGTTTTAGCTCAAGGGGGACTGGACAATTAATTGAAATAAGAAGAATAATGAAATCTGCTGACTATATCAAAATTCTGGATGAAAATCTATAACTATCAGTGCAAAATTTTCTTCTAGGTTGATAATTTACTTTCCATCAAGATTATCACAAGCATATGTCTAAATCAGTGACTGCATGGCTTCAGAAAAAGATGAGTTCTGCCATGGCCTTCAATGAGTCCTGACTTGAATCCTGTTGAAAATCTATGGCAAGAATTGAAAGTTCAAATAAATTGTTGGTCACCAAAAAACCTTCAGGAATTAGAACATGTAACAATTGAAGAAAATCCCAGAAATGACTTGTTCAAATCTCCTGAAAAACTTCAGAAAATGATTGCAGCAAGTTATAAAAATGAGAGACCATGCTTATTGATTATTAATATTTGTGAAAATTGTTCAGTTTCTCTATTTTTTTTTATACTCTACGAATAATTTTGTCATTTCCTATTTTGTGTAATTTGCCTGTCAAATTTGTTGTATTTAACCTACTGTTCTGAAAATTGAGTTTTATATTTCTTCATTTTTTGTGCTTATTAACATAAAAAACCTGGCATCATATGAGCATTAGATTCTGAGAAATGGATAAAAATATTCAAAATTGATGGGTGTACAAATAATTTTGTTGTTTGCTACATATATATATATATATATATATATATATAAAATAGCATTCTTAAATATAGCCATTACTTGAACTAAATCAAAAAATTCTGATATGTTCATATGACAAGTATTCAAAAGTTAAATACACTTTAACATTATTGGTGGGCCACCAAGTCGCAGGTTTTTCCTTCTCTAAGAGTGTCATCGTAACAAGAACTAGGATCTCTCACTCCCAGTAGACATGTACACACAGGGTTACTCTGTATGATGATGGCGATGGCACCATATCAGAAGCAAATATGTGGTGTAGAGGTTGAACCATCTCACCAATAACCCAAAATTTTCTTCTCCTTATTAATGGAAGCTGAGTGGTGGGCTGGCAAAATGGCATCTGACATGAAAATGCATATGAGCCAGATGTCTGAACTTAAATTTTCTCCTTGTTATCAAAATCACGCCCATTGATGTTTGTTGACCTTTCCCAGAGACCAAACAATGGATACGAGCCCAATAAGATCATGAGTAACGCATTTCAGCAGTGCTGTCAGGAATATGTGTGAAAACGTGAGTTGTCCCAGCTGGAGCAAATCTTTTCGAAATGTGGGTCTTTAATCGGTGGTAGTGACCATGGAAAAATAGTATTTCTATTGGTAGCGCTGATTCTATCAAAGTTTTCAGTGCCTCTATTGTGTATAAGCAAGAAACCTGTGACAAGGCTTTATTCAATTCAAAATATGCCTTCATTTTGCTAGTCTTGATAACCAAGATGGCGTCAGTTTCATCTGGAAGAGTAAGAATTCAAGGGGAATAACCCTTCTTCCCTCGTACATATATTTATCTCTATATAACTAGAAAATTTCAAGGGGAATACCTTTTGTTACCTAACTACATATATTTATACAACAGCTTCAGTAAAATTTCAGGATTCAGATGTCAAATTGGAAACTTACTAGAGCAGTGGTTCTCAAACTTTTTTACTCCAATGCACCCTTTTCACCCTAAGTCAGAATGTCATCCTGCCCTCTTTCCTCAGATCAGGAGATTGGAGGTTTTGAGGAGCATAGAACCACTTCTTAATTGCTGCTCTTCCCAGGTCTAACCCGACCAAGGGTGGTAGCACCTGTTAGGAGACCAGATATGAGCAAATAGTTAATAAACAATACATTTTAATGCAAAATAACCAATGTCATATTTTTATAACAAAATGACCAACAATACATTTTATGATCTAAAAACTGTATATCTAAAAAACATACCTGTTACTCTGAAAGTATAAAATTATGTCCAAAATATTTAGAATTCAACATTAAATAACCCATAAAGGTGTTGATATGCTGCTATACAACCACTTTTCCCAGACTGTCCGACTCATAATGTGCATTCCAAATAATATGCATATATTATTGAAAATCTTTATTCTTTTTCCATAGACATTTACATGGGTTATTTTTCCATAGAGTTTTTTTTTTATATCCTCATGATGGGCTCCAAATCTTGTAAATTAAAATACAAGAAAGAATAAAAGACCCCCACACACACACACCTCGTGAAACCTGAAATTCCCTATTGGTGTGGAGAAGCCCCCCCCCCCTTATAGAAGGTATGCCACCACTGGATTTTATCATCTTATGTCTCATTATTTGTATCGTTTCTTGACTAAAATATGGCTTTGCATTGTCATGATGTGGAGAAAAAAAAAGATTTCTTCTTTCAGATCATATTTTTTGTCTACATTGGTGAATGTTCACAAGATTTCATCACATCTTAGCAAATTAATCCTTTCTTTCAGGAGAAAATCCATGCAAACAACTCTTGTTGCTGCTTTATACACAACTTGGATATTGTAACACGTGGCTCAGAAATTTTCTTTACTAATCCTGTCATGTGGTCAATTTACACCAAGCATGTTTGAACAGGATTATATATACATATCTATCTGATTTTTTGAGATGAGGCTTACTTGCTTGCATTAATGTCTTCATCTTGGCTGTTACTGCCACACTTCTATTGTTGTATTCTTTCATCTTCATGCATCTTGGGGAATTGCAAACAAAACCCTTTATTCAATCTGCTATGAAGGATTGTTCTCCTGCCATGGTCCATATTAGTTCATTTGTCTTTGTTATTATACTCATATTGTTTCAACCTCTCATTATTATCTTTGCAGTTATAGATGCTATATTGTATTTATAACAAAATAGTTTGAAATATATTGACAATTACTAATATTGAAAATATAAAATTGTACTGGCTTGGATAAAATATTAATGCAACAGCTTAAACTTTTTCTTTTTTTTGTAATTTTTCATTGTGATGATAGCTTTAATATTGATATTGTCAAAAAAAATTGAAATAATTTTAACAGCATTTTTTTTCTTCTTGCCTCAAAGACAAGAAGTAGAATGATAGGAAATATAAAACAAAATGCCCCCCCCCTCAAAAAAGAAATAGATTTCTGGTTTCTCTATCCAAATTTACCAAGAAATTTCATACCTAAAAATATCTTGTATCATGATGTAAAAAGTTTCAAACAGCTTTTTTTTTTTTTTTTTTTTTTTTTGGAAGTCTGGGAAGAAGGGGATCAATACAGGTGTCCATAAAGTTCGTGTGCACTTTAAAAATTATAACTTTATTTGTATTTGCGATAGTAATAATTTGTAAAAATGATTAGAAAGAAGTAAATCTATATTTTTTAAGGTTTTATTGAAATTTTATTTAAGTTTCCACATGTCCTCCATCATTAGCAATACAAAGGGTAATACGATTTTGAAGTTCACGGAAAACATTTGGCAACTGATTTACAGTAATGCCTGAAATCACATTAGTTATTTTAGCTATACTTAAAACTAGGTATATTAAACTTTATAACATTTTTTACAGATTATTTCTATCACAAATACAAATAAAGTTTTAAATTTTTTAAAGTGCACACAAACTTTATGGACACCCTGTATTCCAAAGTAATCGCAATCGATCCAATTAGTAGAAGTTCTACAGAGTCAAAATGTTATTGAAAAAATAGCTCAATTCCAAAATGACAACCAGACATGTATTAGCTTCATACAGTTCTAAACAGGTTATCACAGTACAAATATAACTTGGCTACTAACTTGACCTTCTTAAAAGTGGACATATCTCCGTAGCACATTCTTGGTCCTTTTCCTAAAACCAAACAGTACCTTTGATATACCTTTTACTCTCATTATGTGGGCTCGGAACAGGTAAGCTATTCCCACAAACCGGAATTACCTATTTATCTGTGGTAATGGTTGAGTATAAAGTATGCATTAACTAAGAAACAAAGTGAATTATATGATTCTTTAATAGACATGGCCTATCTCCCTGATAAAAGAGGCACAAAATCGCCTGTACCATACATGGTCATGTAAATTACCTAATGCCTTAGGACTAATAAAATGCCTATACATGGGCATGAAAAAAACTGCATAACTGACTGGTGCACACATAAAAGCTGGCAGATTTTGGCTTTTAGTGAGAGAAGGATTAAGCTGGCAAGGAATACATTTCAACTGGCCAACTGTGTGGTTCAAGAACTAAGACAGGCCAGTGAGGAAAGTGAAACAGATTACCAAACCTTCCTGGGAATGACAATAAACTACGTCTGCATCCCGGGTAAGATGATAAACTATGTCCGCGTCCCGGGTAAGATGATAAACTACATCTGCGTCCCAGGTAAGACGATAAACTACGTCTGCGTCCCGGGTAAGACGATAAACTATCTCCAACAGCAAGGCCTCTGCTCAGGAGGTTTTGAGGAGCATGGAACCACCTCTTAATTGCTGGTGTTCCCAGGTCCACCCTGACCTGGGGTGGTAGTACCTGTTAGGGTCCCAGCTATGGGTAAATAGTTAACACCCAAACTTGAGTAAAAATAGGTTTTACTACCAAAAATACTTTGTAATAAAAAAAAAAAATTATTACTAGCAATAATTTTTTAAGGAAAAATTATTATATTAAAAGTGTTTGACATGTAAAACTTAATTTCTGAAATCCCTTTCTACATTCAGTATTCCAATGCTAGTTTTAATCAATCAAAAACGACTTCCTTTGTTTTCCTGTATCTGACCTCAAAGGTCAAACTGAGGAAGTCAAGGAGAAATACAAATCTCTAAAAAAATAATAGTCTGCTAAACTTATTTAACACAGATTCTTTGAATGGTTTAGAAAAAAAATCACTTCAGCTTAAGAAATGAACCATGAATAGTTTATTTTTATTTTTTTGTTTCCTTATGTTTATCAAATTAAATCTGAAATATTTTTCTGTCTTCAGGGTAACTTTGGTGAAGTCTACAAGGGTAAGTACCAACCAAAGAACATGGTTGTAGCAGTGAAGACTTGTCGAGACAGCCTGACAGAAGAACAGCGTAAGACTTTTCTTCAGGAAGGCCGTATTTTGAAGCAATACGAGCACCCGAACATTGTCAAATTCATTGGCATCGCTGCCCAAAGGAAACCAGTTATGATCGTCATGGAATATGTGGCTGGTGAGTTATAAACATTTCCAGAGCAGTGTGTCTGTGTGTGTGTTCACTCATTTTATATCCGGCAAAACAGAAAGGGCATAAGACAAGGATATGTCTTCTCACTAGACCCCTATTCAACGTTTACAGCAGTAGGTTCTCAACTGGGGTTCGTATGGACCCTGGGGGTCTACATAAAAAAAAAAATAGCAAATTGGGAGTCCATATTAATATTTTAGAGCAATTTCACTTTTGGAAATTTTCATGTTGGAAATTGAAATTTCTACAATAATCTATGCCATATTAAAGTTGTAAAAATAAAAGAATAAGTCTAAAAATAGCAGAAAAAAATCAAGTGATGTAAGTTTTAACGTCCCTTTTACTCTACTGGATGTTTTGATTGTAAAAGATGAATAAAAACTCAGGATATATAAAGGAAGGATTATATATAGAAAGGAAAATTATTTAAAGATTATAATTTATAAAATAAATTAATTTAATATATTAGTAATAATTTTAAATATTAATAAAATATTAATATAAATTAATTAATATAAAATATAAAAAAATATTTAATAATAAAATTAATTTAATATATAAATTATATAAGGATTATATATAAAGGAAGCATATACAATTATTATTTCTATAATACAATTTCTAAACTTATCTTTAAGTAAAAAATAAAATAAGCTATTTTTCATTGAATGGTCATGGGGGTCCAATCAAAAAATAAATAAAATAAAGAGTAAAAGTGGTCCATGGATAAAAAAGGTTGAGAAACATTGGTTTATAGAATTGAAAGTAGAATGAGAATAGTCTAATATTGTAGATTTAATAAACATTTTGCTTTTAAAATTACAAGAAGTAAGGCAGAAAGCTGAAGTAGACTCTAATGTTTTGACTATAACAACCAAGATGAGGATACCAGTCTATGTAAATCAGTCTATAATAGTTTCTCATTTTAAGAATTAAGACAAAAAAATTGAGCAAATTTATTTTAAAAAGTTATGAAAATATCTGATTCCAATATTGACTGATTAATTTATTTTGTTACTCATGAAACTTTTTTGAAAGAAAAAAAAAAAAGGACCATTTTTTTCAGATTCCACGAAAAATATTATTGATTTCAGTTATTTGAGTTCTTTTAGATTCCTTTTGTTGTTCCAAAGCATTAAATGAATTTACTATTTCTATAATACAATTCCTTTTGTGATGTCAATAAAAAACTCATTGCCACTTTCATGATGTCAATGAATACCCATCACTTTTGTAAAGCTCATTGTAATAGAGCCTTTGTAATCACAGATACAACTATAGTACGCTATTGAACAATGCTGGTGTCAGATGCCTTTGAAGAGCACTCACACTAATAGTACTCGCTCGAAAAGTAACCACCGTATTGATCCAAATAGAGAATGGCAGTCTGTATAATGATAGAGGATAGAGTAGAAAAAGCGATCCTTTAGACGTCACGCAACTTCCTACTTATGCGTTTCCTTTATGGTCACGTGGTCTTCTTAATTCAATAATGGGATTGCTTGTGTTTGTTCACTAGTGATCTATGTTCAAACTCAAGTGTCAATAGCGACACTTTATTCCTATATAACAACCACAATCTCCTGTTAATTCCTCTCTCCAAGTCCTCCACTGCCTTAACCGGGTATTGAACTCACACTCTTTGGGTCCTGTCACTGGATCTAACCAATGCCTTTATCCACTGTGATATGTGTCCTTCAGGACAGGAGATAACTGATAACTGACATCCATTAAACATGGCATGTGTGGAACTAGAACAGTCTACCCCAGTGAATGAAATAAAGGTTTCAGTTCAACATTCCAACCACCTGGTCAGAACGTACAATGGCCGAAACGTAATAAATATGGCGACAAAGATGAGGACAATAGTCCAAATAATGTAAATAGTGTAAGATATAGAAATAATGGATTCTTATTCATTAATCTGACAGATTTTATCACTTTAAATATTATTTTAGTAGATACTCATATTTGAGTAGATGTTCTGTTTATTTATTAAAGAATTTTTTTTTTTTTCGTCTATCAGCCTGAATATCCGAGAAATTTTATTAAAGAAAAATATGTGCTCTCTAGCAGGACTCAAACCTGCAGCCACCTTTGCAGGAGAAACAGTCATTAGATCTGACATGTTTTAGACTGACTTGGGACACAGTGTGTGTCACCGATCAAGTACGTCCTGACAGTGACTTATAAACACAAATCCTTCCTGATTGAAAGCACATATTTTTCCTTCAATAAGATTTTTTTTAAATATTCAGACTGGTAGACAAAACTAAATAAACATACTGTTTAATAAATAAACGGAACAAAAAACTCAACTATAGGTATCCACTAAAAATGATTTTTAAAGTGCTAAAAACAATAGGTATATAGATGGTATGGTGTTGATAGCAGGCATAGAAAGGCAACTAGATGTCTTCTGACAGAAGGGAGTAAAGGAAAGCAAAATAATTGATTTATTTTTTACAGCTTATCAACACTTTGCAGGTTATTTAAAGCCAGAAAATATTTTTAGATTGTAAGAACTTTTTGGAGATATTAATGATTTACTAGTACAAGTCCTACTAATTAACCCATAGTTGGAGAGAGAAAAGGTGGATTCATACCTTTCACAAGGGTATTTTCATGTAAGTCGATATAATGAACCCAATGAGAACCAAACTTCAAGACGTTATCCATTACATCACCTGCACATCTGATCTTACAGAACGTCAAGTGGCCATCTCGATAATGATCAGGCTTGACATTGCTTTGGTGATCATAGTGTTTCAGCATATGTAAGCCAGGAAAGCAAGAAAGGACTAAGCATCAATGTTAAGACAGAATGGATGGTTGTCAGCAAGAGGAAGAGCCCAAGATGTAAACTATGAATTGAAGGCACCAACCTTAAGCAAGTACAACAATTTAAATATCTGGCAAGTGTTTTAACAGAAGACATAAAATGTGGCATCGAAATCTGAAGATCCATCGAAATAGCAAATGATGCCTTCTAAAAGTTAAGCAATATCTTAAGAAACAGGAATATTGTTAGGAACAGAGAAAAAGGTGCTGAATTGTTAAGTAGTATCAATCCTCCTCTATGGCAGGGAATGCTGGACAATTTCCTCACAGATAAAGAAGAGAATTGAAGCAACAGAAATGTTGTTCTACAGAAGGATGCTGAGAATACTATAAACAAAAAGGCTGTTTACCTTGTCATTGTATTAGAAAGGGTATACTCAGGGCTCTTTTCTGATGGTTGTGGCATGCTGATAGACAATTCCAAGGGAATCAAAATATCTAGTTGTCTCCCTGTCCAAATGCCTAGCCCCCTCCTTTATTTTTGTCTTGTTTTGTAAACTAATCCAATCTGTAAAAAGAGGTGGGAGGAAATTATTGCAATAATAATTCATTAAAACTGAATGGAAACCAATCTCTTTCATTGTGAATATTTTAACATAAGCTCCAAAATTTGGCAACATCAAGATACTTCTGCTGTCACTTTTAATGTGCCATGTCCTTTCAGGATGTGAGCTCTCATAGTTTTACACAGCATCCTACCCTTTGTAGCTCTAAGCAATATCTCTCCCCTTACTATTTCTCCCTGTTCCTATTCTGCCATTCATTTACATAAGCTCATTAGATAGGTTACAAGTTAATTCCCTCTCAGTAGGTCTTGTGAGGGTCAAATTTTCCAAGTCCTCTTTCCTCATTTTGTGTCCCAGAAATTACAACTCTGATTCATGTCTGCTTTTTCTTTTTCACCCAGTTTCCTTAAAACTTCTACATTTCTGACATGCTCCATCCATGGTATTCTCATCATCCTTCTGTAGAAACATGTTGCCTCAAGTCTCCTTTTCATTTCTGAGGAAATTATCCATTATTCACTTCCATAGAGGAAGATTGATTCAACACTCTTTTTCTTTGTTTCTAATGGAATTTTCCTGTTTCTTAATACCTTGTTTAGCTTTTGAAAGGCATCTTATGCTATTCTATCATGAATTTGGATTTCTTTTTGCCATTGTCCCTCAAATATTTATTTACACTTCACAGATATTTAAACCTCTGTATTTGCTTGATTCTGATATCTCTAATTTTTAGCTCTTGCCTTTGGGTGTCCGTCTTGCTAACATCCATACATTTTGTCTTTTTACAATTTGTGGTTAGTCCTTTCTTCTTGCTTTCTTTTACCAATTCATACTATTTTTTAATGATATTTCAACCTTGAAATTCTACTTCCCCTGGGAGGAGGGGATGCTATCCTCAAACGAAGGCTTTTTCTGGCAGCAACAGCAGCCACCCTGTTGCAGTCATAATGATGTTTTTATATTCTTTAGCTCGACACAGTCACTAAATTTACTTTTTAAAAATGGCTGATGTATTTTTTTGGCTTTTTTTTGCTTATCTTTGACATTATTTCAATTTTGTTTTTCTTTCCAGGAGGGTCATTATTACTATTTCTGCGTAAAAATGGCCGACAACAGACCCGGCATCAACTTGTGCTCATGTGTGAAAATGCTGCAAGTGGTATGAATTTCTTGGAGGAGAAAAATTGTATCCACAGGTAAATGTCCCTCTTTACACAAACATTAATGTCCCTTGAGATCTAATATGGACAAGATCAATTATAAAGTGATATTCGATAGTTCGCAGACTGTATCTACTTTGATTGCACCATTCAGTAGAAATGCATATGCAGCTAATTCTTATTGGTACCCAACTGACTGAATCAGTCTACCAAGAGACATTGTGCCCATTTACTGATGTTTAGTTATTATACAAGGTTTTGTAATATTTTGTTGAACGGCTTTGTGATCTTTATGAAGGTTGAGAAATTGAAGACATGTATCTACATCAAATTTTGTGTGAAGCTTGGCAAATCTTCTACCAAGATGAGATACTTAAAAAATTTATACTTGCTTAATTTTGACATCCCCAATTTACAGTTTACATCTTGGGTAACCCTTTTTGCTAATGACCATATATACTTTCTTCTTAGAATTCAAACAATTGAATAATGATTTATATTTATATGAGAATTTTAAACAATATTTAGTTTTATTCGTTCATCTAATTCTACTAAGAGGTCACTTGTTTTTCTTTATCAATTCGTCAAAGCTTCTGATTTGTTCATTTAATTCTGTTAATTGTTTCTCTTGATTAATTTATCAAAAACCTTACATGACAAAATCAGAGTTTTGTCTAGAAAAGCAAATCAGGTTAGCATAAATCATTCATTTGCAGAATTTATTTGTAATTTACTATTTTTGACATCAAATCAGCAGAGATTCATATCCTGTTTAATATAATTTACTATTTTTGACATCAAATCAGCAGAGATTCATATCCTGTTTAATATAATTCATTCTTGAATTTGTATTAAATTGAAAAAAAATCATTATTGATGTTGATTTTCTTTATTGAAAGCATAATTGTTTCCAATTCAATTTAAATGTCATAATTCATATTTTTTTGTGCAAGAAATAGCTGATGTTTTTTTTGTGTGTGTGTGTTGGGTTTACAAAACTCTAATTCTTGTAAACAGACTTTTGGGCTACATTTCAAGTTTCAAGTTAGTCCTGGGTATGACAATAAACTACATCTGGCAGCAAAGCTTCTGATAGGGAGGTTTAAGGAGTGTAAAACAATCCTCTTAAATGCTATTGTTCCCAGTTCCCCACTGACCTGGGGTGGTAGCACCTGTTAGGGTTCTGGCTATGGGCAAATAGTGAACATACCCCAAACAAAAATCAAAATACTATGTAAGTATGAAAATACAGATTTATAGTAAAATGACCAGCAATACATTTTTATATTAAAAAAAAAAAAAATGACTAACAATACTTATTTATAGTAAAAGTACAAACAATATATTTTGTCTGTAGTCAAAGCCATAAAATTGTGTTCAAAATATTTAGATTTTGGCATTAAATAACCCATAGATGTTGATATGCCGCTAAAGAAAATCAACCAACCAACATGAAAGAACTCTTTCATGATATTAATTCGTATAATATCCTATAATATCTTTAAGAATTCAAACCGTATTATAAATATAATTCTTCAACAAAACTAGAACATAAAATACACATATCACCGCCTCTAGTAATCACGTCCACACAAACATATATATATATATATATATATATATACAAAAGCTGCATATTATCTACCATATCAGTTGAGAAAGCAGAACAACATATCATATTTTATTATTTCAAATCTCGCAAGCAAATTAATTTTCAGCATTAAATGGACCCATAAAGAGTTGATATGTCATTAAACAAATTTCAAGGCTCTCCTTTTGTCAGTTGAAGACAATGTGTGTTCATGGCAACCAATAAGTAAGTAAAATACAAAACAATATGGAAAACCCATCTATTAGGATTGCTGAATAATCAATCAGACATGATAATTATCAATGTGTATTTATTTAGATATTTTCTGTCCCATCTGTAGTAGAAAGGGAGGTAAATCAAATTAATAAAATTTATCAGTGATCACTTTCATTAGGTGTTTAAATCTATGCAAATAAAAATATTTATCTGCATTTAAACAAAATGAATTCTCAACCAAAATGAACCATTTACTTAATCAGTTCCTTTACTTTTACATTTCTCAGATTGCAGTCTTATTTGTTCAAGCCTTTCATGTGAGGCACTGAGATAAGTGATCATCCTGCTTCAACTTGGTCTTCAAATAAACTTCGTCATTCAGTTGTTAATCTTTTTCTTCAGAGATATTTCTATTTCACTGTTATTTTAAACACACAAAATTTTTAACATGAAAAGATATTGAGCAAAAAGTGATTTATATAATAGCAGGAGTAATCAATAAATCTTCGATACCATTGAATGTCTAAAATATATAAGGACCATATTAATTCATTGGCTTCTATTTTATCTCTGTTTTATCGAATCGCATTACATTGTTTCAAGACTTTTCTTTTGTTGTGTCTCACCATTAAAACTTTCTAACAAGTGCCATCATTTTTTTATGACACGGGGACACTAGTGTGTATTATTTATTGAATTGCATCCTTTGTTAAACTGAGTCAAGGAATATGCCAGTAACACTTTGTACAGACTGGTTAGTACTTCTAATAATACAAGATTCAGCAAACAAAACCATTTTTATTGCTAGTATTAACAGTTTCTTCCTTCTTTGATACCTTAAATTAATGAATTCAAGTGCAGTACTAGATTGGAAAATTTAGTATTAGATTTGTTTGGTTTAACTGATTGCTGGATCAAATGAAAAAGGTCCACACTTCATACTAATGTTATCCTTTTTATTTAGCAAATAAGAAATGTCTCAAAAGGGGAAATGGACAGGCAAAGTACATTTCAAAGACATAGAGAAACAAGGAAAACACTTTTCAAACAGAAAGAATAACAATTTAGAACAGACTCAAAGAAATGATAAAGGGACACATGAGGAGAAATTCAGACTGAATAGAAGGGAGCAGATAATTACTGTGTTGCCTCTTTGACCAGCAGAAAAAAAATAATTTTCTTTTTCAGAGATTTAGCTGCCCGAAACTGTTTGGTAGGAGAAAATAATGTTATCAAAATCTCAGATTTTGGGATGTCTCGTGAAGAAGAGATGTACGTTGTCTCTGATGGTATGAAACAGATTCCAATCAAATGGACAGCACCAGAAGCATTGAACTATGGTGAGTATGATTCTTTTTCTTTGTTTGTCTTCATCAGACAAATGCTTTCTCTTTTATAATTGACATGAATCAGAACTCGGAACAACAAAGTAATTTCCAAATATTATTAATATAATGTTCAATTTGTCAATTATTAAAATTTATTTAATCTTACTTTCACCTTTCATAATTAGTAGCAATAATCAAATACTAATGGACTTAAGTTGTCTGAATTACTTAGATGAAGCCTTGGCAATTATTATTCATTTCTGACAAGTATTTCTTTCATCTTATTTCTCTTGCTTTTCAAGCAAGTAGTAATAGTCTTAATTTGTCTCTATTTCTTAGATGAAGCCTTGGCAATTATCATTCATTTTTGACTAGCATTTCTTTCATCTTATTTCTCAAGCTTTTCCACCAAGTAGTAATAGTCTTAAGTTGTCTGAATTTCTTAGATGAAGCCTTGGCAATTATTATTCATTTTTGACTAGTATTTCTTTCATCTTATTTCTCTTGCCTTTCCACCAAGTAGTAATAGTCTTAAGTTGTCTGAATTTCTTAGATGAAGCCTTGGCAATTATTATTCATTTTTCACTAGTATTTCTTTCATTTTACTTCTCTTGCTTTTCCACCAAGTAGTAATAGTCTTAAGTTGTCTGAATTTCTTAGATGAAGCCTTGGCAATTATTATTCATTTTTCACTAGTATTTCTTTCATCTTATTTCTCTTGCTTTTCCACCAAGTAGTAATAGTCTTAAGTTGTCTGAATTTCTGAGATGAAGCTTTGGGTTAATTTTGTTATTCTTGAACATATGATGAAACCATTTCAGGAAGAGAAAGTTTGTCTGGCTCAAAGTGAGCTAATAAATTTTTTTCTTAAACATTCATGAAACTTTTAATTTTTTGGCAATTCTTTGAAATCCATAAGGGGAGAGGTGCTACAAAACTTTTACCTACTATATATAATTTGAAAGCAGGTCATGTAAGTTTTGTAAAGATGTCTCAGCAGCAGAAATGTTAATAATCTTTTAATATTTTCCTTTATCTTCCTTCTACCTTGTCGAAATAGTCTCATCTGGATTTCTTTAATGAAGCATTTCTTAGATCTTAGTTTCAATTGATTTTTGTCAAAAAATTTCTCAATTCAAATTGAAAAGGGCAAGTCTGAGTTTTTTTTAAGAAGTTTTCAATTATTTTCATTCTTTGCTGTTTGCTAATGACCCTAGACTGACTGACTGTGTAGATTCTATCAAAAGAAACTGAAATTAAGACAAAAGAAATAATCATCCAAAATGAATGATGTCTATCATCATTGAATTCTAAACAGATTTATCCAATCTCTGCCCGTCGGTGTCCCCGAGTCTGTTCTCTGCCCGTCGGTGTCCCCAGTCTGTTCTCTGCCCGTCGGTGTCCCCCGAGTCTGTTCTCTGCCGTCTGGTGTGTCCCCAGTCTGTTCTCTTCGGTGTCCCGTCTGTTGTCCCAGTCTGTTCTCTGCCCGTCGGTGTCCCCGAGTCTGTTCTCTGCCCGTCGGTGTCCCCGAGTCTGTTCTCTGCCCGTCGGTGTCCCCGAGTCTGTTCTCTGCCCGTCGGTGTCCCCGAGTCTGTTCTCTGCCCGTCGGTGTCCCCGAGTCTCTTCTCTGCCCGTCGGTCTCCCCGAGTCTCTTCTCTGCCCGTCGGTCTCCCCGAGTCTCTTCTCTGCCCGTCTATTTGTCAATCTGTCTTTTCCTCTCTCCCAGACTATTGAAATACTGTCCTAATTTTTCATAATAAAAAAACTGTTTTCTGTTGACTGTACATAATTGATTAAAAGACACTGGATTGAATTCTTTAAAACCTGTTTCAAATTTCCTCTTGATTTAAAAACCTTTATCCTCCTCACCTAACAACCAGTGATTATCTGTCTATATTTCTGTGGTATTATGTACACTATTTACATTATTTGGACTATCATCCTCATTTTTGTTGCCATATATATTACAACGCTTCCAGCCTTCTTCAGGTGGTTGGAATGTTGAACTGAACCCTTTATTTCGCTCACTGAGGTAGACTGTTCTAGTTCCACATGCCATGTTTAATGGATGTCAGTTATCAGTTATCTCCTGTTAATTCTCCTCTCCAAGTTCTCCACTGCCTTAACTGGGTATTGAACTCACACTCTTTGGGTCCTGTCACTGCATCTAACCAACACTTTTATCCAAAGAGTTGTGAATTCAGTACCTGGTTAAGGCAGTGGAGAACTTGGAGAGGTGAATTAACAGGAGATAACTGATAACTGACATCCATTAAACATGGCACGTGGAACTAGAACAGTCTACCCCAGCGAGCGAAATAAAGGGTTCAGTTTGATATTTCAACCACCTGAAGAAGGCCAGAGTGTACAAAGGCCAAAACGTGATAAATATGGCAACAAAGATGAGGACAATAGTCCGAATAATGTAAATAGTGAACCAGTGATTACTTCTGCCTATTTTGAGGAATAAATCCTTATAACTTTATTTCATCCTGGGTATGACGATAAACAAGTCCAACAGCAAGGCCTCTGATCAGGAGGTTTTGAGGAGCGTAGAACCACCTCTTAATTGCTGGTGTTCCCAGGTCCACCCTGACTTGGGGTGGTTGCACCTGTTAGGGTCCCACCTATGGGTAAATAGTTAACCCCCAAATTGGTGTCAAAGCACTATGAAAGTGTAAAAATAGGTTTTATTACCAGAAAACCTTTTTGAAAAAAAAATATTACCAGCAATAAAAACTTGTCTGCATTAAATAACCGAATGAGGTTGATATGCTGTAAAACAAACTGAACCATAACTTTATTTCTACAATCTTTCATCAGTTCAAGAACATTTCTAATAAGCAATTCTCCTGTTTGCTCTTTTATAGAAGCAGAAATTTGGCTCATTTTGTGCAACACTGGGAGTAAAATGCCAAAAACAATTTCATTCTATAATTCTTAATTCTGAAATGTATTTGAGAAAAAAATTACTTTTTAAAAAATCTTTTTCATTTGACTTCAAAGTGTGTGCCAAAGTTTGAATGTACATTACCTCCGCCATCATAAAAATGGTAACGTAAGTATCTAGGCAAATTAAAAGGAAAAAACTTTTCTTTATTCCATCTTTATGAAACTTTTTTTGTTGTTGTTATCATGATGTTTCATCTGTTGTACCCTCCATCAGGTATAAATCTATCTGGGTAACCTACAGGGAATTCTGAACAGAACCCTTTATTTCATTTAGGGGACTAGACTGTTCTTGTTCTGCTGCACATGTCTAGGAATATCATCTAGTTCTTATTTTTATTACTGCTCTGTTATTGCTCACCTCTTTCTACTGAGTACATCCTGCCCCGCCCAGGGATTTGTTTATCTTACTGATTTTCTTTTTTTTATTTCAGGCAAATATACATCTTTGTGTGATGTTTGGAGTTTTGGTGTTCTGATGTGGGAAGTATTTTCTGCTGGGACAACCCCTTATCAAGGAATGACTAACCCACAAGCCAAAGAGAGAATAGACAATGGTAAGTTTCTATATTGGAACTATAATATTCTTCTTTCTATTTAAACTATTTGTTAAGATTTTATAAGCATTTATGTAAACAGTAATGGTTTAATAGACTATTTCCATAAATTCTTCTAAAAACTTTACTGCCTTGCTTGGGGTGATTTAGATTAAAAAAAAATAAAATCAAGGTGTTAATAGTCTATACTACCAAGACAAAAAGGTTGTAAGGAAACTGCCATCAATATTAGAAAGAGCTATAACATTTAGTGGACTTGAGAAGTTTAAATTCCTGAAAAATTGTATATAAATGGTGTTGACTTCAATGTCCACTTTTATATTTACATATGTTCTATCCCTTATATTTAGCCCTTTTACCCATAAATATAGCATATCTTAAAATATATATATATATATATATATATATATATATATATATATATATATATACACACACACCTACCTATACACACAATCCAAGTGAATTAACCGCATTGCGCGTCAAGGCCATCCACCCCCGTCGATCGGCAGCAGAATTGACGACATGATTGAGCTATTCACGATTCCAGCGTCGGACCCCAAAAACGCGAGGACTGAACATGAGTTCCATATCTGCTTTGACTGTTGCGAGCCACGTCTTGAGTTGACCACCCTGGTGCTTCCTCCAACCAGTCGGGGCATTTGACGCCACCAATTTACGGACGAACTCATCACCAGGCCACTGCAGCATGTGGCCAAACCACCGGAGTCTCCTGTTAAGCAGAGGCCCAGAATGTTGCATCTAGCGTAGATGGACAAGCTTAGTGTTTTAATTAAACAGAACAACATATTTTTATACAGTAGGTATTAACATTATATTAGGTTAATGATCATTTTACAAGGTGAAAATGATCATTAACCTAATGTAATGTTAATTCCTATTGTATGATTTTATATATATATAGCTGGCCACTTGTATTTGAGGATACTTGTTTACTAGGTTAGCTAGTGAATCCTTACTGCAGACGCTCGCTCAGGCGCATTTGTGTTTATTCAACACCCACAGAGCCAACCTGTAGTTTATACTGCAACTATGCTGAGCAGACACTAGTTACAGTTTCTGGGAAAGAGCATGTTATCTAGCATGATCAACAATTTGAACAAGGCCAGCATGCTCAAGCCTCACAAGGCTTGGGTCAACTCATGTTATGTTTTTCAGGCACTTTCCAAAGGTGCTACATGCTGGGATCGACTCCTTCAGTCTGATAACATCAGGATGTCTCCTTCCTAACAAACCGACTATGATGTGAGATTCAAACCCTGGTCTCATGTTCAGAATGTGAATCCTCTAACCACTCAGCCATGTGCATATATATATATATATAAATGGTGGTACTCGCTTAGAAAACCCTCGAATAGCTCGACTTGCAGTAGAACAAATTGATACTTGAGGAAAAATGGGGAATAAAAAAAAAAAAAAAAGACCCAAGAACATTAAAACAAGGTGAAAATAATCGTCCAGTGTTCAAGCTCCAAGTCCAAAGAAAAAAAAACCCAGCATCGCCCTGATGATGATCCATTTCAGTGAAACCTAGGTAGGCTTGCCTGGCTCCTTAGGTTTATCTTATATATATATATAAAGCATTCTCAGTATATTCAGATATACCAAACATCTTTGGTATATCAGTCAGCAATCTTTATAAGCACATTTGCAGGATAGTTTTTTAAAATAACCTTTATCAATTCCATTTGGGTTTTGCAGAATTCTGATAAACACACTAATCATGACCTCCCCATGGCCATCAGAGGCTGATTTAAGAGTTTCAGTTCTACTGGTCTTTAAAGAATCTTACTTGCTTTCTTTTTGTTTAAATCTTCCCAATTGCCTTTCTCATAAGTATTTTATATATTAGTTTCAATTTGTAGGAATGACTGGAAAATATTCCCCTTTCCCAATTTATAGACAAAACACAGATGCATGCTGGGATTTCTCCCTAGCCAATAATATTGATAAACTTCTTGGTGTCATTTGACTCAGTTCTGTTCTTGTTTTGAAGCCAGAATGTGGCAATAACTTGTCTGTAACCCCTTTTGTATGTTAACATCATTCTTACATTCTGCCTTATTACTGTTGCCTTACCTTGTATATATTGTTTGCTTGCTTGCTTTATATTATTTTTGCCTTATTACTGTTGCCTTGCCTTACATATATTGCTTGCTTGCTTTATATTATTTTGCCTTATTACTGTTGCCTTGCCTTACATATATTGTTTGCTTGCTTTATATTATTTTTGCCTTATTTTGCTGGTTTTACATATATTGTTTGCTTTTTTATTATTTTTTTGCCTTATTACTGTTGCCTTGCCTTACATATATTGCTTGCTTGCTTTATATTATTTTGCCTTGCCTTACATATATTGTTTGCTTGCTTTGCTATTTTTGCCTTATTACTATTGCCTTACATATATTGTTTGTTTGCTTTGTTATTTTTGCCTTATTACTATTGCCTTGCCTTACATGTATTGTTTGCTTGCTCAAAATCGTTTTTGCCGTGTACTTTTCTTTCTCTTGTTATTGTTTATTGCAAACTTTTCAATTCTGTTTGTTGGGCATTTCTGCCAATTACATGACTCTACATTATAGATTCAATTTAATATTTTTAAACCAAACTTTTTTTCATGTTTCAATCTGATTAACCAGACAGTTATGTGCCATGTGTGATACACGTGTAGGCAATCATGTATCTTTTGATACATGACTGATTTTTTTTTCCCCACAGTAGGTTACCATTTCTTTCTGTGGTAGACCAGTTGCCATCTAAGGCTATAGAACCTGGTCTCTCCTGCTATTTACCCATAGCTGGGGGGAGAAAAAGAGGATTCATATCTCTCCCAAGGACATTAGTACGTAAGTGAATGTCTGCTCTCCAATTTCTCAATCCGAGCCACTATCCATTACTCCACTGTGCCTCCTTGGAAGATTGAGAGATAAAATAATTTTTTTCATATTTAACCTGATTAACCAGTCAGTTATGTGCCATGCATGATACACACTTAGGTGATCATGTATCTTTTGATACATGACTGACAAGGCAGTAGGTTGCCATTTCTTTCTGCAGTAGACCACTTGCCATCCAGGGCTATAGAACCTGGTTTGTCCTGTTATTTACCCATAGGTGGAGAGAAGAGAATTCATACCTTTCCCAAGGGTATTAGCATATATAAGTGAATGTAATGGATTTGGCTCTCCAATTCCATAATCCGAGCTG